TCATATTGGCGGATCAGAGCCTCAAGGCAATAGTTTTCCGACTTGTCCAGTTCACCCAAATGCCTATATACCTGTGCTAAGTGAAATGTACACAAAGTGTAAAGGCCTTCAAGTTCTTTGGTTCCTTTGCCCTCTTCCACCTCCTCGGGTGTGCCAAATATATCAGTAATACACATAGCTTTGCCACTGGTATTCAAGAACTCTTTATATGCTTGTTCAGATTTGATTAGCGTGTCGAATGCCAGTTTATATTCCGAACGATTTGCTTGCAATATGCCTATTTCATTGAGAGCACCCACATATGGAATAATAGCCTCAGGTTTCATTTTGTGTGGCTCCACCAAATCTAAACACTCCTGTAGCAGCCGCTCCCCGGTTGAAATTTCTTCAGTGAATACTGCGATACGCCCAAGGTCACGACATACAAATGCATGCAACACAACATAAGTGAAATCATCTCGACCATCGTCCGCCTCCTCAGCGACAATTGAAGCTAGTGAATTTTTAAGATTTTCCTTCATCTGCAGCAATAGCTCGCGGGCAGCATAGTGTGAACGAAATGGATCTGTAGGCGGATCAATTTTACTTTCCTCGTTTACATATTTGATAGCCTTTTCATAGACTTCCTTATAATCCGTCAATATTTCTTTCGCAATCACCATTTTCACAAATTTTCCACACGCACGTAGACGAACAATGAGAAATTGGATTTTTCTTTAATTTGTTTGCCGACAAATGTCAATGAACACGCGGTCGCACATGGGGTGATTCGTGTGAGACAAAATGCTTTTGAGCGCAAATGTCAAGCGAATAAATTGCATGCTATAAGTGGGGCTAAAAAAATTTAGTGCATGATACAACTCATCGTTTGCCGCGTAAAAACTTGTATCCGCCAAATTTTCGGGTACTCTTTATGAATTTGTACAACGATTTTGGGTTGCTGTGCCCAAACGCGTGAATCGAATCAAAAACCTTTTACAGACACTTGTAGACAACAGTTCACGCTTTATTACAAAAATAAAATTTACTATATCTGTGTACCCCAAAAAAATAAAAAATAGTCCAAAAATTACACAAACGAGTATTTAACTGAATTAAGAACATAAATGTGTATGAAAAAAATATGAAGAGGTAACAAGAAGAAATATATTTTTCTGCCATTTCATTCAACATTTAACAACGATTTATGCATGTGCATGTGTGTGTGTGTCCTCTCAGTTATCGCAAATATCGGTTTACTTAGCGATTCTACATCCGCTTCATATATCACCTACTTCCGTTTCATCTGTCTTTCTATTTTGTGATATGCAGTCAGTGTTGCCATACATGTTCTTTTCCTACCAAACTGGTAGGTTTTTTTTCCCATTTGGTAGGTTGGTAGGCTAGATTGGATTTTGGTGAGTTCCTGGACAATAATAGCTATTAGCGAAAAATAAAAAGATATGTATGTATCTCTAAACATTTTAGCAAACTTTTTTACACGAATATGCCACCTCATTGTCGCTGAAATACAAAAAACTCACATTGTCGCTGAAATACAAAAAAGCGTAACTAACTAAAAACCCAAAATTAATTTTATTAAAATTATAAGTCTCCTCATCGTTTTGTGTAATAAAACATTTTAGTTAGTTGTGGTTTTTTTGCATTTCAGCGACAATGATCCTTACTATAATAACGATATGTAGATAGTAAATGTATTACTTTTCGAATAGGTGGTAGCCCTAATAAAAATATATATAATATATTTAATATATTTTAATATTCAATTTAACTTTTGCATAACTTAATTAAGTTGGACTTTTGAAACAGGTGGCAACACTCCCCAAAAGTATTTTCAAATAAAATCTTAGTAAACCTCTTCCGTCTGATATTGTGGCACAAAATTCCATTCATTAATAACAGCCCTATTCTAATAAAACCTAAAAACTGAGTTGTGAGCAAAACTTTGTGAGATTTCTGGTGAGGTCTATTTTGTAAGGTCAACTAAGTTGAGTTGTGAACCATAATAAGGGCCTTAACCGCAACATAACTCATATCCGCATTTTGTACGTACACATGTACGGCTATATACATATAATGTACAGGGTGTTTCAATACATAGCCACTAAAAATTCAAGACCAGCAAGCTTATTGTCATAGACGCAAACTAGTTACCTTCATACTATCCTCTTCATCCACCAAATTCAATTGTTTCGAAATTCTTCCCTATAATATTGCATTATCTGCTATAAAGTAAAACTGTTATACAACTACAAAAATTAAATTTGCCATTATGCCTTTTGACATTTTCAACAACATTTCGGCGCCAAAGCTTTTGCCACTTTTTATGGCAACTGAGTGTCCACTCAACAAAGACAACTTGTTGCTTCATTGCCGCTCGGCAGAAGAGCGCTCATTTCGAGACTCGCCACGCTCTTGTTGCGCAACATTGTAGCCAAACGCCGGCAAGGGTGAGAGAAATGCTTTGCAACAAAATGTCATTTCAAAAATTTCTGCACCTTCGCCGGCAACGGAAGAGTAGCACATTGCGAGCCAAAACCCCAAGGGAACGTATGTCGCGGCCTATTGGCGACTTGTTTACTGTTGTTTGTGTTTATTTGCTACGCTTTTACGAGTGCGGCTACGATAGCGACTTAGCACACACACACACACTTATGCATATTTACATATGGCCTTTAATAGATTTGTAATGTTGGTTGACTTGGTGGCATGCAAAGAAAAATTATGAAAATACATATTCACAGCGACTAGCTTTGGGGCAAAATTCAGTCTCAGTTGTGTTTAGCCAGTGTAACGGAAATAGTGTCAAGTAAAGTGTTAAAGGCAGCGCAAAAAGCCCTAATAAGCAAACAGTGAAAATTAATATGAAAACTATGTAGTATATTTTAATGAAAATAAGAGCTGCTTAAGGAAATAGCTACACAATTTCGCGAAAAATTAATTAAACTGCGTAAATAGAAAAAGTGAAAAGTGTTAAGTGATCAGTGTATGAGTATTTGCGGGCGTTTGTCAAATTGTAAGCCTCTGAGCAGAAAGTGCGGCGTCGCTGTTAATTTATTTATTAATGTGCCTTTTTTTTTATTAAAAAAAGTGAAAAGTTGAAAACGTTACTTAATTAAATGTCTATTGAATTTGTTTAAATAAAATATAATTATTAATACCTCGAAACAAAGTCGAAAAAAAATTAATAGCGTGTAATAAATAATTATCAAGAAAAAAAATCTCGTAAAAAAATTCGCGTTCATAAAAAAAAAACCTCAACATTAAGGCTGAATTTCTTTATTCATTCTGAACGTTTGGAATAAACTTTTTTGTTTACTTATTCTTTAGAACGTTCCTGATGATATGTTAACGTATATTTCAAACGTATTCTGTTTATTCCGGCTGTGAAATGGGATTATCCGGAATGTATAAAGAAACGCAGCCTAAATATCTTCCTGTATCCGATTATTGATTGTTTGCAGCACGCAGTGCAACGAAGCTGTCAAAAACCCAACAACAACATCAAAACTACTGTGTCGCAAAAACACGAAATCCGCATAAAAAACCCAAAACAAAAACCATCGGCAGCAGCTGCAACAACAACAACAACAACAACAACAACAACAAAAGACAACGTTGACAACAATGAAGCGCCTAATTGGATTATTACTAAATTTGGCTGCCATAACAGGTGAGTGTGCACAATAGGTACACCTATGTATGTATGTATGTATGTGTGTACATATGTATGTATGTATGTATGTACTATATACATAAAACCCAGCCCACCCGCTTCCCCCCAATAAGCTTTTTGTTGTCTGTGACGTCTCATGGACATGCCGGTGACACGCATTCAGCAGCAACATCGCCATTATTTTCTTTGACACTTGCCCGGCTTTTTTTTCTTTATGCAATTTTCAGTGGTGTTGCGTCAAAATGTTCCCGGGGTGAATGGTGGCTGTTTGTTTTTTGCATACATTTTTATTTTTTTTTTTAAGGAAAATAGAAAATTGAATTTATTTTGCTGCAAAATATTGATTTGCTTTGTGGAGCACACTAGGCACTGCATGTGATTTGAAAGCGTAGTTAAGTGGAAAATTTGTAGTTAAGAAATTTGATTGGAATTTGCGCCTTTCATGAAAAACATATGTACATACATATGTTTGTATATATGTACGAGTACATACTGTTACACCCAAAATTGAGGGTACGGCACTTTTTTTGTTAATATTCGCAATGTTTTACATGCTAAAATCTTTTTGTTAATTTTGTATTAAAATATGGCTTATATTTTAGCAAACCCCATTTAAATCCAAGAATGAAACAGTATACGAAAATTAAGAAAAATCTACAAATTTCAAGCAAAATCGCGAACTTTTTAATACGAATTTCTAAAAGGAATTTAGGTATGCAGTTTGCAGAAATTCTATTATGATAATGTGCGAATTTCAAATGTCTAAAAATTCGCGTTGATTTTTGAGATTTTTTTTGCTGATTGTCCACATTTTTTCCATATAAAAAAAAAAAATTCTGAAAATTTTTTGTCAGCAAAAAAATTTTCAAAAATCAATGCGGCTTATATATGAGTGTTAAAGAATAGTTTTTTATACAAAAATACAAAAAAAAAAAAATAATAATGGCAGTAAATTTAACTTGATTTCGTGTGCATCAAAATCATCTACTAGGAAGGTTAACCATACAAGTTTTCCAGAATCTCTGACGAAAAATTGAAAGGCAAAAATACTCATCTACCTCAAGTAAAACTAGCGAGGAAAATTGTCTTGCCATTTTTTTTTACAAAACACTACATAAAATCTATAATAAATTTATATTCACTTTAACTTAATAAATTCAATTTGCAATTGGCTTCTGAAAGATTTTACGCCTTTATGATGATAAGACATTTGAGAAATTTCATTACAAAATGTATTCAAATTTGCAATTCTCTTTTGCAAAGAAACTTTAAAAGCCATGAAATTGAAATGTGTAGCAATTAAATGCAATAAATAAATGCTTGAATGTGTAATTTAACTGCTGAGTATTGGAATATGTCAATGAAAGGAATTTAATAATATCTATGTACTTATGTTACAACGACAAATAAGAAGATATAAGCAAGTATGCATGTACATATGTACATTAGGATGGCCCTTGTTTATTCGAAAGAGCAAACATTCCCATTATTTATAAAATTTATTTATAAAATTCGCACCAAACTGTCACTTCCTGGGGATGCATTGATTCTCGGCAATGACGTGCGGTCTTTCCGATCCCCAAAGCTCGCAGTTTTGCTTATTAACCCAGCCGCCGAGATGAAAATGCGGGCTTCGTCAGAAAATATGAATTTTCGTGCAAAATCGTTGTCCATATTTCCCAAACGTTGTTCAGGATGATACTTGGGTTGTTCACACTTGCCTGGTTAGCAGATTATCTGGTTAAAAATTATTACTCTGTAGTGTATGTTATTGTTGTAAATTGTATAGAAATTATAACCACATAACCACATAACCTGATAACCAGGCAACTGTGAACAACCCAAATGACTTTCTGTCAAGATTTCCAGCGGGAAAGAGCTGTCCCTGTCGAAATTAAATGTGATAAAATAAAACACTACATGGACCACCCTAAGCGGTGATGTCTTGGTTGGCTACTAATAAAATATTTATTAATAAATTTACTTCATCAATTCAGCACTGCGGTGCAGTTAATAGATGCACAGCAAAGAATACCCTGTAGGGAAAATCTTTAGTTGTGATCTGGTTCGACTAGCTCGAAACTCGAAAATTCTTGTTCCTGCAAAGATAAAATTAACACTTGAGATACATACATATGTAAGGAAATAATTCCTTCAACATATTTAAACGGTGTACATAATAGGCGGCGCGTTAAATCAAGAAAATCACAGACCAATGTACAGGAACGAAGCTTATGTTCTTCAACTCGACCAAGACGAGGGGGAGAACAGCAATAATGGTGTTCAGAAATAACAAACACCTTGCAGCCGACAGAATACGGGCTGAGCCGTTCAAAGCCGACGGGTCCGCTGATTGAACCTCGGTGTACAAAAAAAGAGAGGTCCTGCTGTTCGCAACAATTACCGTGATCCTATCGACGATTCTTTGCAAGATACAGAAGCCCTTCATGAACCAACTGCCTGGACGTAACCGTGTGGCTTCAAATCATCCATCGACCTGATTTGCATATAGTGCGCCAAATTCTGGAAAAGAACTTCGATAAGTAAATTAACAGACGATATCTTTTCGTCTATTTTAGTTAAATTTTTGACAGTAAAAAAATGAGCTGCCTCCATGAAGTCACGTCTAAATTTGGGATCACTGCAAAACCAATAAAAAAAATGATTATTTCCTCAGTTTTTGCCTATTCGTGCATGGTTGAGGCGCTGTGGAAGCTGTGCCTACTTCTTTCGTACCTAAGCTGCCCCATACCTCGTTTCCTTGTATTCCCTTGTGACCTGGTACCAAAAAAAGGCTGGACGTCACTGTATTCAGCGAGCGCGTAGAGGTTCTCAATGCGCTCAAAGACTAAAAATTATTTACCTCAAAGGTTCAGATTTCAGATTCTATCTTAGGGGCAGTTCCTACGTAAGTTAATTCAACTGATTGCGTAGACCTTCGCTTGAAAAAATGCTCGGGATTTTTCCTATAGACACGCAAAGTCTCATCTTGGAGCCATATTTGTTTTTACTTAATGCCATTCGGTGTTTTGAAGCCGTTAGTGTACCGCTTCATGGTGCTGGCTTGTAAATGTCTCCACCTAATGGAGTCACTCCCGGTTGCTTTGCTGCGGAGCTCATATTCTCTCTAGGGAAAAGGGCTAGCGGAAGCTTTTCCGTATTATAATTTTCAACATGTTTGGCCGAGCTTCTCCTCCAATTTGTGCTGCGGGTCTGATGTTTTTACATTATTGGAGATACATTCAGTTTCATGCGGAATCCAAACGACAAATGATTTTTTAAAAGAAGCTTTTCCATTACAGAATTGTTTTTGGATGTTGCTCTGACCAATGATCGAACCTTGGTCCAACCACTCGGCATATCCTTAGAGACAATTAGGTTATTCACAAGGAGTTGTATAGTGTCGTTTGTTGTTTGTCGTGAATTTTAAATAAAAGTCGTATTATGAAATTTCGCACCGTTAAAAAATAGTTGGTTTAAATTACGTAATTATTATCGAAATCGATAAAATAACCATGTCGAATATGCTATTGATAAAATATCGATAACGGTTATGAAATTGCGAAAATATCGAACGCATTTTGAAGAAAAGGCTTTCACTAACTCCTTCCGTTTGACACCCATATTGTAATATTTTATGTATTTAACCTCCCATTATATTGAACTGCAACTGTCTATGTGATGGCAACCCTTTTCAAAAATATGTTTTAAACTAATATAAATGGGTCTAGGTCTTTCAGCCCTAGTTGGAATCATACCGCCCCAGATAATGACCCTGATGTTGTTGCACAATTTCAAGTGTCAAACTGAAACCTGATTGCTTAAGCACTCGTTTTACCAGATTCATTTAGGAGTTTCAAATTATATTAATTTTAAAATTTTTGCTTTCACCAATCTATTTGAATTTGTTTTTATTATCATTATTATTTATTGTTATAACAATTAAAATTATAAAACAATAATTAAGCACAAGCTATCAGGGCTTTAATTTTAATTTAATGTACCTATGCCCTTCACTTAATTCGCATCCATCGTTATCAAATTGATGCAAATTTCGAAAACATATTAAAATATTAAGAAAATAGTTAATGTTTTGAATAGGTTATTTGCGACAAATGCGTATAGATCTGTCAAACATTTTTTTGCTTATTATCAGAAAATGAATAAACAAACGTTGGTCCTTAATAAAAAATGTAAAAAAAAAAACAACATTTCATTGAATACTATACATATTGATGAATACATTGATGCACAACGTACTTTGTGTTACAAACATTTCCGATGGATGCGGGTTAAATAAAATTTAAATCAGAATAACCGCACTTAGAGATGTTATACGTTTAATAAGCTGATCAATATACAAAACCAAAAATTTTTGGTCTGCAAGTTTTCCATTTTCAGTCCACAGTATTGTATATCAGCATACTTGCATACCAGCCCTGCTTTTACTACCACTTTTAGCAAGGTGCTGCCATATTTTAACTCACTTAAATAAAAATCTTATTGAAACTGGAAAAAAATATAATTGAGAATTAAATAAAGAGTTTTAAATAAAATTTATTTCCACTTAAATGAATATGGTGAAACTCAGCCTTAAATCAACATTAAAAATAAATTAAAATGTATTTCCACTTAAAAGAATGTGATGAAACGCAGCGAGTGGTAGTAGCCTCTTACTTTGCAAAATAAAATTTTCAAAACAAATTTGTTGCCTCTCTATTCTGTCGCTGAATGTTCGTAGAGCACCGAGTTTGATAAAGTGTGCGTCCCATGCGAATATGTGGTTTCTTTTTAGGATCTAAATAATGAAAACAATAACAACAACAAGAAGGTAAAATCCGAAAAACGTCACTAAAATCTCCGAAAAACTAACCAAAAACCCCAACGGGGTCGATAGATGCCATGAAACATTAATTGAAATAAAAGTGGAGTGCAGACATTTGATAACATTTCAAATATGTATGTATGTATGTATGTACGTATATAAATGCATATCT